CCACACCGCGAATGCCTGCAGCATTGATGAGGTGTCCACACCCTCGCTTCATCTGCATACGTGCGTGTGGAATTGGGAGGATAGCAAAGCAGCCTCAGCCCTATATATTAAGTGGTGTTTGAACACCTGGCTACAATTTCCCCGGGAAGTTGCCTGCATTTATATATTCATCAGAGTCGTTGGCATTTTCTGCTCGGCCAACAAACTGCTTCCTCCAATCCTCAACTTGAGTGGGTGGTGTGGTGCCGGTGAACCACAAGGTGGTTGCGCATTCTGATGTGGTGGCACATTCCTTGTTAACTGATCTGACTAGTAGTGTTATTGTTCGTTTTCAGTCTCATTTCTGTCACAAAACAGCAATTACCCATTCTCAACATGTAACAACCATCGAGACGCTGGAGTTATTGTTGCAGTTTGCAAATCGTTTTCCATCTTTAGCATTCGCTTTGTCTAAACTGTCCAGAAATTGGCCAAATATAATAGTATTTAATCGTGCTTGCCAAATGTGTGTAAAATTTAACTTCTTTTGTAATAATAAAATAGTGGCTCAAACTAATTTGCAATATTAATCGAGTAATGAAAAGAGACAAAAGGCAATTTTTAATTTTGAGTCCAATTTGCTACTGACATGGTTATCTGACCTCGAGGTCATGAATATGTGGCACACCTTCTTCGCCAGTTTATGATACCCACTCGGAGTAAACCAATTTGCTAAGATTTTGGTAAAAAATGTGATTAAGAACAATGGCTTTGACGAAAATGTATTGAAATGATGCATCCAAACTGTGGCGGTCGAGTTGCTCTGACACGCAAATGGCGTGCGTATTGGACCAGTTTAGCAGCCTGTTCTACTCCACCAGCAGCCTTACTGGAAATGATGTGCTCATCAAATGTAAAAAAATTAATATTTCATTAGATAAAATGATGCCCTCGATAGGCTAGTGGTCTTTTTGGAAAATGGATGGGTTGATAATTGGTAGCATTGGTCTGGTGGCGAAGAGCGGCAAATGATGCTCCACCTTGGCAGGAGTGTTTGAATTGCAATTGCTTCTTTGGCACGCTTTTAAGTAAATGAATTTTAGTTGTTTGTGCCAATTTGAGGTGCCCGCACACGCACTCTCCACATGCGTGTGTAAGTGGGAATGAAATGTGAGAAGGCGAGGGAAGCAGCGACCTCGGCAGCTATGTTCGTTAAGTGGTGTTGGCAAAACGGGTCAACATCTTCTCGAATTATCATCAGTTCTTGGGGTTTTTTGCTCAGCCAACACATTGTTTCTCCCATTCCTACGCACGAGTACAAGGAATAGATCGAGTCGCGTTGGTGAATCAGAAGGCGGTTGCGCCAAATGGGCGCACATTCCATGTCAACTGACCTGATCTGTAGCATTGAAGTCTCTCTTCTATCCCGTTCCTGTCACCAAATAAATCATCATTAATCTCAAAAACGACTCAAATTCTCGTATTACGTGGAAATTGCACCTGAATGTGACTACCTACTACGCCAGATCTGTGAAAGGTGTTGAGCTGTCCCTTTCCCAAACCATCAGTTAGTTCTCCAAATCTCCATCACTTGCTAAATTGCTTCACGACTCTTCCGTCTGCGTTCGAAAGTATTTACCGTTATCTTTCAAAATGCAGTTATCACTCATGACCTGAGCTATCAACAATGCGCCACCCCAACCAATTCCACATTAATCGCACAAGTTTCGAGCCAGTCACAGCTGAGGCGGTTTTTTCTCCTACATCCCATCCTTACTGAATAATTCCCTCCTCACATGCCTCAACCATAAACTCGTCACCTATTACCTCAACTTGACATTCCGTGCGCGAACCCACGTGGACCCACTCCAATTCATCTGCTGGGTACTAGTATGCTTTGCAGAAGTAACGGAGGTAATAGTGTGCCGATTCTTGGACCGACCTTTCTGGCTACCACGATTGCAACTTCTCGCCAACTGAAAACTGCCTGAAAATCACAACTATGTCGGAGACCATGTGATTCAGCAACACAATCCCCACAAAGCAACTTCTCCGTCTACTGCCAGGCAGTATCGTTCCCTTTCACACTTGGCACGAACTCTAGAAGCACTTGGTAACCGACAACTTGAAAAGCCAAGACATCTCCTGAGAGTGAGGCGATTTTGTAGCTCAATTCACATTCGTCCTTTAGAATGCATGACAAGGACGCTTGCAACTACAGTAGATACCTCTCACAAGATCCTACTTGCCACAAAAGCTTTTGATGTACTGAGGTGGTGAGAAGGGCATCCGAACGCGCTTTTTGCTCCTCATGATGAAGAAAGCAATCAGTAAATTCCAATCAGGCAGCGATACCTCCAGAGTACCGAACACAAAACGGCCTCTCAAATTGATTCGATTCATAATTTGTTTGTTCTTTTAATAACTCTGCCACCACGGAAGTGATTTCCGGAGAAAAATCGCAAGCAGTGTTACATTCATCCCACTTCCAGCATACACTCCACACAATAACGAAGAACGTCCTCGTTCCTCACTGCTGGTACTAGTTACAGATCAGGGGAAAAGGCAGATGAAATACCGGTCCTACAACGATCAATGTTTCAGTTCATCTCTGTGCTGTCGCATTTCCTCAACAATGCTGGAAAATGAGCACACTTTTCTACATCAAAGGAGGAATTGCATTTGAATGTTCAGAGCAAAAGATGTCCGCATGATTAAGCGTTTGATAAGCCTGCTCTGTCGTCTCTACTCGCAAAGACGATAAGTGAAGCTACAAACAATACAGCGCCAAATCTGAACTCAAAGCATCGAGTTCAGTTCCATGAGAGGCAATTTCTGCGCATGATCCACTCTACGTCCAGTGCGTCGCACCAATCCCACCTGTTCCAAGTCAGCCACAGCACGAAGGAAACGCGACCTAGGACAGACACAAAAAGACGTTTAAATGTCCTGTCTCTCCTTTTCTACTGAAATCGAGACAAGACATTGCAGAACGTAGAAACAACTTGCACTACTGAATTAGAATTTAACACTTGAAGAGGAGGCAGTAACCATCCGGTTAAAGACGACTCAGTGGTGCTGAAATTACTGGATAAGCTGACTGGGATTCCCGTCCGCACTCGCTGAAGACGGCTCCACAATAGTCGCGAAAGACTACAAAAATGAAGAGTACATCCTATATTACTCACTTGTCTCCAGCCACGCCAACAAAATGGGCACATGTATGCCCTTGCGTAGTGATAAGCCAGAGAGGAAGGAAAAGGGGGAGTCATGTCAAGAACCTATCCCCAGAGGAAATCAACCATAGAGAAGGAGAGGTGCATTGATTATTCAAGAGGAGACTTATCCCTCTGGAGATCAGAGATGAGCATGTGCTTGTGTGCTGCCCATTCTCTGATGGAAAAGGGTGTTACCATCACCACAAGCACCACCATTTGCTTATTTACCAACCTATTCAAGAACCAGTGAACCAGGGAACTTACAATGAGCCAATCGTGAATATTTATCAAAGAGCCACTCTCCATGTAGATTTTGTAAACAATGCACACATCCGGCACAGGAGATTGGGGACCATTCACTTCCTGCAAAGAAATGGAGTGAGAAGGTTGACTGGAAAATGCTGATAACTGGCAAATTACATGACCCGCCTGCAAATACCCCAACATAAGGCGTTTGAACAAAGTCGCAGAGGTCAAGCACCGCAATGGGCTGCAGAAATCCAACTTTTGTGAGTACAACGCACGTTCAGGTCCAACGGCGGATTCAAAATTCACTCATTTAGGTGAAAAGCCAATTCCAAGCAGTGCTAACTGCATTTGGTAAAAGTGCTGCCTGTGCGACTGAACCTTTCTGTGACGGCCTACTTCACTTCGTCTGCAACAGAAGGTGCAACGATGTCATCAAGTCCAGCCTGCGCCAACTGTGCCACATTGCAACTGTTCGCCCTCGTCAATGACTGCTGTGTTTACCACTCCCACGAAAAGACGTCTCGTGCAATTCCCAACGCCCCATGCATTAATTAAGTGTTCACGAGAATGAATGTCGAGACTGTGGTCTGGGCGCAAAACCAATGCCCAAAAGAGCCATCACTGACATGAGGATGTAAAATCGTTCTTTCAAAACTATGAATAGCATTCCAACATCTCGCTACGCCTGAGGGTCCAATCGCCACAACGTATTAACACCAAGATCTTGTGCAAGAGTGGATATTTGTGCATTTTGCTGAAAACAGAATCATCCATCACGACTCGCTGTTTCATCCACATACTCACTACTCCTCCTGGCTGTCCACCAC